TGGGGTGCGCCATAGAGGGCCGGCCCTCCCCCTCCTCCACTCCTTTATATATGGGGAGGGGGGCACCCCATGGACACACAACTTGATTGTTTAGCCGTGTGCGGTGCCCCCCCTCCACCATATTCCACCTCAGTCATATCATTGCAGTGCTTAGGCGAAGCCCTGCGCCGGTAGCTTCATCGTCACCGTCATCACGCCGTCGTGCTTACGAAACTCTCCCTCAACCTCAGCTGGATCTAGAGTTCGTGGGACATCACCAAGCTGAACGTGTGCTGATCGCGGAGGTGCCGTATCTTCGGTGATAGGATCGGTCAGATCATGAATACGTTCGACTACATCAACCACGTTGTCATAACGCTTCGGCTTACGGTCTACGAGGGTACGTAGACAACACTCTCCCCTCTCGTTGCTATGCATCACCTAGATAGATCTTGCATGTGCGTAGGAATTTTTTTGAAATTACTGCGTCCCCCAACAGTATTTGCTAGCTTATTGATTTTCAAAGAAAACGGAAGTTTATTGACTTGCTGCTATAGTGTATTGAAATGCACTATTCTTTTTGTTATGTACTGTTATGAACTACATGGCGGGCTGCTTTGTTCATATAAGATGCATCAATTACTTGAAAGTCAAACATGCTCAAGTTTGATTTTTGAGTAGCATACACCTTATACTCCTTTGTTGGTCCATTGTCAAGGATATCGAACGGCATGCGCATGCAGCATGGTTAGAGCATCTATAGCCGTCCCCTCAAATCCCCAATAAACGTTCGTGGACACGTCCGATTAGCACCTGAAGGAGAGAGAAGGAAAATTTTGACCCAACCGAACCTCTCATATCATTTCATATGCCCGGCTGTCTCCGAACCTTCATATTCAGAACATATATGTGGAGGATATAAGGGCTCGCGGACACCGCCAGTCAGTTCACCACATAGGACGCGACCCACCCTGACAACATTTTTGCTTTCTTTATTCTTTCTTTTCTTTCTCTCTCTTCGTCTCCATCAACACATGCATGTGGCCACACATATAAGAAAGAAAATGAGAAGTATGATTGCACGCACGGACAAAAAAGGGCTCCAAAACCACTATAAATTAGGCACGAGCTGACCTTTCCTCCCCTATCGATAGGCGGATAGGGAAAACTCTCCCCGCCAGGCTTCGTGTGTTATCCGGTGGGTTCACCTTCCCTCTGCCTGCCGCTATGACGACCGGTGGTGGGAAGGGGAATCCCCGTGCCTCCTCTTCGGTTAGTAATTTAGGTTAGAGTTTTTTAGCCCTCGCATGCACGGCACTTGGGCGGATGATGACGCTTCTTCGAGTTTGTCTTTCGGGCTCCGATTCTCCTCGAGTTTGTTCATCTGGATGTAGTCGGCGGAGCTCCGACGTAGATCCCTGTCATCTCTTGGAGGCGGTAAGGTTAGGTTTTCTTGTCATGTGGTGATATTTGGTGTCAGATGCTTCAGGTCTATTCAAGGGTTCAATGGCGACGACTGCGGCTCTAGGGCGCTGGTCTTTAGGGGCACGTGCATGAAGACTTCTAGGCTGTCATCGATAAGGTCAAGTCGGCTCAGGTAGCGGAGCGACGACAGTGACACAACGCATCGACGGCTTGTTCTAGCGGCGGTAGTGATCGTTCCGTGGTCTAAGAATCCTGATGCAATTTTTATTATGTTTGAGATGCTTTGTACTTCCTCCGAACTTTAATAATAGATCTTGATTTTTTTCAAGAAAATAAAAAATCTCATTTGAGTGACGAAATTTGTTGTAGATGCCCTTAGAGCAAGTATAATAGGATGACATAGGCGGGCTGTAAGACTTTAAATATTATATTTTTGATGAGTTGGCGGAGAGAGAAGAGGAGAGAGAAGAGAAGCGGGCTACTCACTAATAGCCGGCAGTAGCACGTGCTCCTAGACACTCTGTGAGAGGGAGGTGGGCCATGTATCAACAAAGTAGTACAAATTTATATGCATCTATTGTACTTGCCGGCTATAAGTCTGACTACAGATGACGTGGCAAGATCATATAGCCAGCAGCGGGAAGTGCATGGATTAACCCGGATACATATGAACCCACTTTGAAAAACACATTTCTAAATGCTTAAAAGACCGAAAAAGCGGCATGGGTACGTATTCATGTTCTATGTGCGCGCATAAAGTTTCACGAAAAAATAACTTTTTTTGTGGCCTGTACAAAAAAACAAAAAATTGTGTCGTGAAACGCTGTTTAGAAGCACTGAAATTTGTTTTTTTACGGAGGCAAAACAAAAAGTTGTTTTTTCACAAAACTTTGTGCCGCGCACACGCATTTGTGAATATGTATGCATGGATATTATTTTTTGATTTTTTTATTTTAAAATGTACTTAAAATGCATTTTTTGAAAAGTGGATGCAGATGCCCCTGGATTCAGATCGTGCGCACTCAGCCAACAGCTGGCTATATACAGGGGACGAGACTTGCCTGCTCCCCTCACGTGCGTTCATATGTGCTTCCGCATACGTGGCTTGATTTGATTGGATCAAAATAAGTTCCGGTCCCACCCCCTTAAAATTAAAGGGAGATGATTATATTAGAAAGGAAAAAGAGGAAAAAACAGTCACAGGATGAGGTGAAAGCACGGATGGGAGGATGGGAAAGGAGCAGGCAAACCGGATCCATATACAGGAGTATTTTCACAAGGAATGTGCCACGTGGCTGGCTGCATGCAGAAGTTCTTCCTACAGTGATGGCTAGTTATTTTCAGAAGGAACGCGCCCTCTGGCCAGTTGAATGCAGGAGGCGAACAAACAGGGCATTAATCATGGAGTTAATCAAGGGAATTGATCACGCGTGAATAGCTCCACGTCTTGGTCGTGCGCAATAACCCCTCCGACTAAAATTCCCCCATAGAGGTAAGTACTACTATTACTAGTTTTCTATACTACTAGGAGTTTCCATCCGAGTCGGTCAGCTAGTAGGTGTATATATACACGCGCAGTGTTTGCAACTAAACCGATCGATCGAGCATAGTAGTATCGTGAAAACTCCGGCGAGCTGTAAGCTTAGGTGAGCACCGATCGCAGATCCGCAGGGGCGCACGTACGTACGTGCGATCGTGGGGAAGCAGCCATGAAGCAGCGTACCCAGGAGGTGCACGTCGCCGGCCGCACCGCGCTCGCCACCGTGACCTCGAACCCCGGGGTCGTGCGCCGGTGGGTGTACACGACGCGGTGGCGCAGCCGACGCCGCCTCTGCTCCGGTGCCGGGCTCACCGTTGGCATGGGCGTGCAGTGGACCCCGCCCTTCCGCCGCCTGCCCGACGGCGCCGAGCCGCGGCCGGCCACGCTGCAGCTCTGCAGCGGGCGCCGGTGCCTCGTGTTCCAAATTGGGCGCGCCGGCGTGGGCCGCGTCCCTCTGGTCCTCCGGCGCTTCCTGGAGGACGCGCGCGTGGATTTCTTCGGGTACAACGTCCTGTCCGACTGCCGCAAGCTGAGCGCCCACTACGGCCTGCGGGTGGCGTGCCCGCGAGAGCTGCGCCTGGTGACGGGCATGGGGAACGCATCGATGGAGAGCATGGCGGAGCAGGTCCTCGGGTGGCGCGGGGTGAAGAAAGCGCAGCGGGTGGCCGTCGGCAACTGGGACGTCAGCACGCTGTCGAAGAAGCAGGTGAGGTACGCGGCCACCGACGCCTTCGTCTCGTATTGCCTCGGCGCCAAGTGTTTGAAGTAACCGGAACTTGTAAGCCGGTTAACCTTTGTTAAGAGCAGGGCCAGCAGAGCAGCTTTTGGATCGCTAATCTACTTCAGATTACTTGCTTATTACTACTAGTTATTAGGCTACTCATCAACTAAGCGATCGTGTTGTTCAATGTTTTCAGCAACTATGTATTTCCGTCCGGGTGTACATACCCCAAATCTATTAGTATCAGTGAAGATTATGTGTCCATTGCCTATCTATTATTTGTCTCTTTACCCTTTCACGTTTGTTCTCACTGTTATTATTGGAGCGATCGGAATTTTTAAGTCGCGTCGATTGATTCACGGCAAGAGATTCCAGTAGAGCCGGAGACGGCGACTTGGCCACGGTGGCGTCACTGACAAGGGTGAGCTAGTAACGAGCCGTAGATCGGCAAAGACGACGTCGTTGGTGAAGGCGGGTGGAGGTAGGGTGGCCGGCACTTGAGAGGAGAGCGGTGGGGTTCAGAGGGGTGTCTAGGACGGCAGCGGCTCGACGAACAAAAAGGTGTGGTCATGATCGCTGAGATTCGGGCAGCGTTGTGTCAATCCGCAGACCATCTGCACCAGCTGCATACTTATACAGGTCATTTGACCGTTCTAATTGAGTAGTCTATAGAATAGACAGATGGTGATAGGGGCCTGCGGTGGATATACAGATGACAGTATAGGCAGGCTACTGTCGAAGCGAAACTGCTCCACACACGGTTTTTGTGAACGATCTGTGCACGACGTGCAATCCAGCGGCAGGTGGCCTTGTCAGTCATATGCATGTCACGTCTCCTGTCGAAAAGACCTCATAGGTGACGCAGGCGCCGTGACGCAGGTACGACCATATTCGTACCGCCGCTGTTGCCATGGATAAATTGAAAGTTAATCTTGACGCTGCCCGTATGTCAGAGGAACAAGGTGGAACCCTTCTCGAAAGTATTATCTTCCCGTCTTAGCAAACTCAGCCATGAATCCTAAATAAGCGAAGTAACTGAAGAATATTTGAGGCCTTGTTAATTTTGCATGTCATCTAAAAATCGAAATAACAATATAACTATATTTTTTGATAAACTATTTTTTTCTCGAATACACACGAGAGTGCGTACTGTATATACTAGTAAATGGCACGTGCCATGCACGTGTAGAATTTTTTTAAATCATGTAAATATAGTTATAAACACACATATCATGTATCATTTTAAGTATCATGATTTGAAGTTTTGAACTATCATGGGTGGACTCGCACAGCTCATCAATTAATTAATCAATAATTATTGAGATATAAATAATTTATTAGTGTAGGTGTGTAATATTAGATCTGCACAATTTCGAATACCAAGAGAAATAGGATACCCGCTTCATCCTCAATTTAATGAAATTTAATAGGTCCTAGCTTGAGCTATGCATAGAGTATACATTGCAAGTTATTCATTATTACAAATAAAATGATTATTTAAAATTATTTCTGTTTTGTTTATCAGATATCTTCACAAATTTATTGCTGAAAACAAGGGCAATATACTGTAAAACAAAATTTTAACGGAAAGTAAAAGCTATTTAGCTATAACACATATTACATTTTTCTTTTGTTGTCTTTCTTTAATCATTTAAATTGCTTCCACCAGCAAAAAATTGTTTCAGGCATCTGCGCCTATGCCCAGGCTGAACCATCGTCATGCTTTTACTCTCTCATCTCCCATCACCATACCTACTTGGTAGCTCTGCTAGACTCTGGAGATTACTACTCTACCCTACCGCTGCATGCATTGTATCACATGAGTGTGCTAGAAATTTCTACAGAATCACGTGCCCATGCGAAAATGCCAGGCCAACACAGTGAAGTGGCGCAGCGCGAATCCCTGCGATGTGGGCCGTTAGATGGACATATCCAATGGTCTATGTGCAGCCACGTAGTCCTCTAGCACAAGCCATTAAATTTGAGCCGTCTGATTAGAAAGATCCAACGGTCCATATGTCTTGCTATTCGTATACTATATAGGAAGTATAGATTGAAGAAGAGGATGGGGTAAAGAGCCCCTCTACGTTAGAAATTAAAGTTACATAACCCCAACTCCAACCTCATGGGAAAACCCTCGTAGGCTAACTTCTCTCACTCACCCACCTTTCCACCGCCAGGAAGATTGGCTCGACATATCGTATGCATCACATGCGAGCTCGAAGGCGAGCCTCCGTCGAAGACTATTGCATTCCGGTGCTTCCATATCTCCCACGGACCAGGAAGGTACGAGTGTCCTTAGCACCCAGCCTCGTGTCCAACTTTGTGTTCCACCACTTCTCAAGTGTTGTGTCCGCGCTCGGTATCCACTCCGATCGATTGGTAGCTAGGCAGTCTCCCGTCCAGACTTGTCGCACGAAACGCACCCGATAAGCAGGTGGTTGATGGTCTCTGTCAATGTCAAAACCGGCGGATCTCGGATAGGGGGTTCCGAACTATGCGTCTAAGGCTAATGGTAACAGGAGACTGGGGACATGATGTTTTACCCAGGTTCGGGCCCTCTCGATGGAGGTAATACCCTACTTCCTGCTTGATTGATCTTGATGATATGAGTATTACAAGAGTTGATTTACCACGAGATCGTAAAGGCTAAACCCTAGAAGCTAGCCTATGGTATGATTGTTCTTGTCCTACGGACTAAACCCTCCGGTTTATATAGACAAAGGAGGGGGCTAGGGTTACACGGAGTCGGTTACAGAGAAGGAGATCTACATCCGAATCGCCAAGCTTGCCTTCCACGCAAAGGAGAGTCCCATCCGGACACGGGACGAAGTCTTTAATCTTGTATCTTCATAGTCCAATAGTCCGGTCAAAGTACATAGTCCGGCTGTCCGGATACCCCCCTATCCAGGAATCCCTCAGTAGCCCCTGAACCAGGCTTCAATGACGATGAGTCCGGCGCGCGGATTGTCTTCGGCATTGCAAGGCGGATTCCATCTCTGAATACTCCAAGATAAATTCCGAACACAAGGACCGTGTTCGGCTCTGCAGGACAAATTTCACATACCACGGTAGAGAGAACAATAATCTACGAGTCTGATCTGCTGACAATTCTTCATAGCGTGACACCACGCCACGGCCCGGCTTTTATTCGAACAGTTTTTTACAACCAGCTACCGCACACATCGCAAGGCAGTTCCATTGGCACGTCTTGTCAAAGCAAAGATCGTGTCCCCCTTATCGCGGGATCCTCATCAATACGGGTATGGGTAACCCAACCGTGCCATCAATCGTGGCGCTTGGAAAATGAGTAATTTTGACAGGCAAGTGGGGAGGCGCACATTTTTTCACCGTCTTTACAAAGGGATAAGGATCCCCCGTTTTCACCCACGCCTTCTTCCTCCTTTGGTCATCCGTTCTTGCACTCTCGAGCCCCAGCGCCCAAGTTCTCACCTTCTCCGTCGGACCATCCGCAGCATGTCCAGAGCGGGAGGCAAGTGGATGGCCTCCTCCGTCACGGAGGAGGATATCACCAAGCTTCGGGCGGCCGGATACCTGGCCGAAAACATTGCGCATAGGCTGCCGGCAGAGGGACAGATCACCCCTACCCCAAAGTCTCGGGAGAGAGTAGTATTCCTCCCTCATTTCATCCGCGGACTAAGATTTCCACTCCATCCGTTCGTCCGCGGGCTCATGTATTAGTATGGGCTAGATTTCCATGATCTAACCCCAAATTTTGTCCTCAATATCTCAGCGTTCATCGTCGTGTGCGAGGCCTTCCTCCGCATCAGGCCCCACTTCGGCCTGTGGCTGAAAATCTTCTGCGTGAAGCTGAAGATCGTTAGCGGCTAGCAAACGGAGTGCGGAGGCGCCATGGTGGGCAGAATGCCCAATGTTACATGGCTTGACGGCTCCTTTGTGGAGACCGTGAAAGGGTGGCAATCAGGGTGGTTCTACATCACCGAGCCGCGCGACGCCAATTGGGTGGTGGCCCCCAAATTCTGATCCGGAATCCCCATGCAGCTCACCTCTTGGGAAAAGAAGGGCCTGGCCTGGGGCGAACACGTGGAGCTGACCGGACTTGAGACCTGCATCAAAAGTATGAGGGACAAGAAGATCAAGCTTGTCAACATGGTCCAGGTCATGCTCATGCGCCGGATTCTCCCGTGTCAAAGACGGGCATTCAATATGTGGGAGTTCGATCCGGCCGAACACCAGATGTTGCATGAGCTCTTCGGCATGATGCATAAGGACGTCTGGAAGGTGTTGTTCAAGACCGATGAAGTTCCTCCTCCCATTTCCGAGGACTGCGGGCTCAGCACAAAGCGCCTCGCTCGGTAAGTCCTCTAACCATCATAAGGTGTACCTTTCCCAACATATTCGTGGGAAGATTTTAAGTCACCATGCAGATAAAACAGGATTACGTGAAGATGGCGGAGCAGATCGACTGTCTGGCTCCGCTGCCCGAAGATCCGGCAACCGCACTCCTAGCGAAGATGCTGGCTCCGGCGCCTTACAAGGTGCCGGAGAAGAAGGCCGAAAAGAAGGCCACGGGGACCAGGAAAGGTCTCCGGCGTGAGGTCGCACCGGACGCCTCGCCCAAAGACTATGAGGCGCACTCCTCCCACGAAGGGGAGGAGAAGAAGAGGAAGAGGGCTGCCCCATCTGGGGAGGCCGAAGGGTCCAAGAAAACGGCCGCGGGGACCAGGAAGGGTCTCCGGCGCCATGCCGTAATAGACTCGTCGTCAGAGGATGGCGAGGCAGATTCCTCTCATGGAGACGGCGGGAAACACGAAGAAATGCCCCCTCCCCGCACGGGGGAGGAGAAGAGGGAAGCCGCCCCACAGGGGGAGGCTAGGACACCGAAGAAGGGAAAGGTATCCCTTCCGGACCACTCCACCACATCCGCCTACAGCGAGGAGGAGTGGCTTCCCAGGGGGAAGCCCCGGGCGAAGTCGTAAGTATCCGCACTCTGTAATACCTTTTGTGTGACTCTAACTTCCTGGCTCGTAATGACACCGAACATGTGTATGCAGTCCGGCCAGGTC